TTTTTTTTTTTTTTTTTTTTTTGGTACCGGGGATTGAACTCTGGTCCTTGCGCTTGCAAGGCAGGCCACCGAACCGCTGAGCTAAATCCCCGGCCCTAAATAGGGTATATTTGTAAAGAAAAAAGAGACATTGCTACTCTAGCTTGTTCATTTACATTCTATAAACTAACTGCTAAATAGCAGTTAGTCATATAGTGATATCACTATACCTAAGTGTGGCTTATTGGGCTAGGGTGAAAGGTAATTCCCATGATCTCCATCTCAGACCAGCTAGAGTATTAGCATTATTTCAGCAGTGTGGGCTGGGCTTTGAAGTCAGGCAAACTAATGTTAACTGTTGTTATGCATCATACACATCCTTCAGATTATTTTCCAGTGTGAAAACCCACACAGACAAAAATCCAGTTTTTCCTTTTGTAAAACTAGGGCTGGATTTTATAATTTGTTTCTGAATCTACATTTTTTGCTCAATTTATAACAAACATTGCTGTATTACTAAATATTTTGTAGCACAGAGGCCAAAAATTTAGCTTAGTGGTGCCACAGCCTGCCCCACAAGCACAAGGTTCAGAGTTTGATCCCCAGTACTGGGAAAAAAACATCCAATCAAACCATGATATAATGGATAGTTTTCTTTTTTTTGGAGAACAATTTAATTTGGGAAGAACTCATGATCATATTGATAAAATAATATTGTTAAAGGCCTAAACTTAGTTTACGTGATTAATGTAAGACTGTTATGTGTAAGTGAGCAAAAGTATAATTAATTACTCTTAAAAATACTCACATAAATAGTTACTCATAAAAATTTCACACCTACATTTTGTCTTTCTGTGAAATTAGTTTTGCAAAAAGCAGGCCACCTTCTTCATTTTCATTTTGCCAGAAATTGGTAAAAGAAAAAGCATTTTTATTAGTACTCTTAATACTTATCCTTCTCACAAGCTCTGTCCCTTGGGTTGGCAGGTTGAGGCGACCATGGATGGCAACCCGAAGGTATGTGCCCCAGGGAGCTTTTCCTCATGGACATGAAACTTCCTAAGAGAAAGGCCAGTTGTGGTGGGTGTTGAGACTTGCAGTTTTCCTTTTGGTATAGTTGACAACAACTTTTTTTCTTCTTTTCTCTGATTGTGTTTCCTTGTATCATCTTAACTCCTTTTTCCTCTTATAAAGTCATATGTCATGGTGTCATCTAATGTCTGCATTGTTTTTCCCTTAGCACTTGGTGTTGCTTGGTGAATAAACTGTGCTATGCTGAGTTCAGCCAAGTGTGGAATCACTGTTTTTTCATCAGGGGTTATATTCAAACTCTTAATCCTTGTTCTCAATTCATAGAACTTCTTCTCTCAAGAGGATCTTTGCGAAGATAACTTTGTTGTCATTTGTTTTACATAACCAACTTTTCTTGAGTGACTGTTGTAAATTAGGCCCTATATTTGTCTCTAGGAATATATGCATGAATTTTAAGGTAGTTTTGACTTTAAGAAAGTCTGATGATTGAGAAGGAACTTGTGAACTGTATTAATCCTTCAGTCCTATCAGCTTCTGAGCTGTTTACAATCTGCAAAGATTTATTACTATCATAGGACCAGAATGGAACCAGAACCCAATCTATATTTTTAAAGAGAGGATAATTTATTGCAAGAACTTGATGCTAAAAGTATTGGGAAAGGCCACAGTACTGAAAGAGAAGAGGAGGCTTTACCTAGCAATCAGTTACTGTAGAAAGTAGCTGTTGTCCCTGTGGCTAGAGAAAGAGAGAAAGTGCTGTTTACTGGGCCCTTCTGATACCTTGGCCCCTGCTGCTTCAGAATCACAGTGCTTCATTGGAGCCAGGCCCAAGGGGCTCTTCCTGAGCTCACAGCTGCCCTTGCAACCACCTTTGCTACCTAGACCAACAGGACCGGAAGCAGTCAATCTCCTCTAGTATAGGGCTCGTTGTGTGGTGAAATTGGGGCTCACGGTTATGTTATGAATCCAGGACCTAGCTGGACTTGAAGTCTGGAAAAGATTGTTTTAAACTTTCTGGGCTCTTGCATTGCTGAGGGAAGCACAGAAAGACTGGGATGGACTGGAGTCCTGCAAGAAAATCCCTGTATTCTTATTCATATTCTTCTCTCTCTCCCAGCCTCCTCCTCCCTCACCCTGTTGATGCCTAAGGAAACTTATTTTGTATGTGTAGTTCTTTTTTTTTGCTTGTTTTTCTTATTTGTTTTGTTTTGTGATTCTGAGGGTAGAACCCAGGGCCTCATGCCTCAGTCCAGCACTCTACCACTGAGCTCCAGCCCCAGCTGCAGGAAGCTTCTAAAGACTGGAATCACTTGTGCAGTGGGTGGTTTTTTAAAATGAGGTTTCATCTCCTTGTCAGTTTTTATAGCTGTGTGTAGATGTTTCCCCAAAGCCTCATGCGATCATAGGTGGAGCTTTTCAGAGGTGGCTAGATCAAAAATGTGTGATGATGGATTGATTCATAGTGCAGTGTTAGGATTAAGAGCACTAGCATTAAATGAGTACTACCTGTCCTGGGTAAGATATAAAGGACAGAAAGATAATTGTCTCTTGTCATTTGCTTGCTTGCTTTTTCTGTCTTCTGCCTGCCATGAACTGTTTCTCCTCTGTGATGCCCCTCTGCTATGTCACCTTGCCTTGTATCCAGTCAACTGTGGACTGAAACCTTTAAAAACTGCAAGCTAAGTAAACCTTGGGTATGGGGTATTTTGTCTCAACAGAAAAAAGTAACTAATATATCAGTCATGATATATATGACTAAGATACATAGTATTTCTGACACTTGACAGCTACCTGATAGGAATGTTGGTAGAATTTGTTGCTGATTCATCAAGGATTTTGAAACTAAAGAACTATTCTCTTTTTCCAAATGTCATATTAGAACAAGAACATTACATAATATTATTAGGAAATACTGAAATTGCTTTTTAGGTAGGTAAATTGATTTTGCTTTCATAAGAAACAACAAAAAAATTCTCCAGAGTAAGTAGGAAATGTGAGTCTGCTGCTCTGAACTTATCTTACCTCTCTTAGCAGTGTGGCCTCTGGGCCATGGCCCTCTGTTCAGTTTGACAGGCTCTGTGGATCTGCTGTAATGCCTTTCTCTGTCTGTTCTGGCTCCTTCTCAGCATGGTCTTCAGCAGAGAAGCCATTAGGAGACTTCTCGCCAGTAAGTGTCGATGCTACAGCAACGATGCACCTGACGACATGGTCCTGGGCATGTGCTTCAGTGGCTTGGGAATCCCTGTGACACACAGTCCCCTCTTCCATCAGGTGAGGCAGTGGTTTCTATTTCTACCTTGGGGATAAGGAAGAGATTTTCTTCTCACTTGAGCATTCTACTTAGTTCTCTATTCATGTTTTGGAAATGATCTTAAGAACTATGTTGACTGGCTCAGGGGAACCTTCTTAGCAGATAACATATCTTCCATGTACCTCATGAAGATAGAAGACAAAAACATCTAGAACACCAAATGATACTGGACTAATGCACTTACCTATATAGAACTAGGGAAAAGCTTCTTTCTCTCTCCTTCTCCCCCCTTCTCCTTCTTCTCACCCTTGTTCTCCCCGCTCCCTCCTCCCTCCCTCCCTTTCTCTCTTAAGTTAAATTGTTGACATTTAAAATTGAATGTTGTCTAGAAATATAAAGGACTTACCTAGTATTGTCCTACTAACTGTCACATGTAAGTAATCCTGCAGTATCCTCAGTTTTTACACTGTTCATCTGTATTCATTTTTTTCCCCCCAGCGGGCCTTCTCTCCTTTGTTCACTACTAAACAAAGTACTTAAAACCTATTAAAGTTCAATATGTTATCTGAATATATTTGACAGGTTATAGAAAAAAGAGCAAAATAATGTTTACCAGGAGTTATTAGTATTTATTACTTCACTATATGCATTTGGGGGTTGGAAAAAGAAATCTGTCTACATTATTTTTAGTAACATTTTAAGAATCTAGTCAGGGGATGTTCTTTTAAGAGTAATAGCAGATATATGTAAACTAAAAAACAACCTTATACCTACACCCATTAAATGTATTCCTTCAAGAAATTGAAAGCTTTTTGAAATTTGTATATAAATGCATGTATATTATAAGTGCTGTTCCTTTTGCTGAAAATGTAGTCTTTCTGCTTTATTTAGTAACCAGTTACAAATGCTATCATACATAGCGCTATAGAACATTGAGCAGGGCAGAAACACCGCTATTGAAAACAACTTGTACAAAGCAAGGAAAATATTTACATTATCAAGAAAGCAGAATCCATTTCTATGTCCTTGCAACAGAAGGGAGAATAAAAATAGACCTTTAACAGAGAGAAATTAATAGGAAATCTCCTTCCTGGTTCCAGTCAGAAGGTACTTCTGAGACTTTTAAGGCCTTGAGAGGGCTTACTCATTTTAAACCTAGATGTTATGTTTTGATGACTTAGAAAAGTAACATATTCTGTCGCTTCTTCTGCTTTATCTTATGTTTCATTCAGAAAAGGAAGGGTAGTTCAACTGCTGGTGTATGAGGAAAGTAATTTATCAAGGTTATTGTGACCAGTCTTAGATTTTTATAGCAACATTTTCTCCTGGGAAAGAACACATTAGTTAATAAAATGATGAGAAAAGAGAAGAAAAATAATTTAATCCTTGAGCAAAACTCCTTTGAAGGTAATTCAAAAAATTTTTAAAAATTGTTGTCCCACACTTTAAAACTCAGTTTCTCTAATTGTGCAATGAATTTTAAACCTTTCCATAAATCCTAAAATATGTTTAAGACCTGTCCTCCCCAACAGATAGTGCTGTTTCTTCCAATTCTTAATCCTTTTTTAGAGAATTTGAAATAATTTGGACAGTACCTTCTGTTTGTAATATTTGAACACGAGCCAATGATATATTTGTTCATATTGACAGAGAAATATGAGACAAAGAGATTATATCTAAACTTCTTACTGAATTAGAGATAGATTATTTGGAAACAGTATCAGTGACAACACTACCCGGGCCACATTCCATCCAATTTTGGTTAGTACATGTTATCATGAAGTCATAGACATACAAAAATATTCAATCCATCCCTTTCTTAAGGGGAAAGTGTCGGAGCACATGGTTCTCTTCTTCCAAAATTATATGCCCCTAGTGAATGTGGCATTGTATAATGGTCAGTGAATTTTCTATACAAAATATAATTATCAAACTGGGAAAAATTGTCAAAATAACCAGGGCAAGATTCTAGAAATCAAATACAGGCTAATTATAAACTAAGAAACACTTATTCCCACAAAATTGCTATCCTTTTGGATAAGAACAGTGGAGGTTGAAGCCTTCTTGCCTGAGGCTGCTGCTGTTCTTACCTCTCTGTATCTTCTCAGTTGATTAGAGAAAAGAGTAGTTTTACCACTGTGGGCCTGGCTAAAATAAACAGAACCATTGCTGACATTGGGAATTGACTTGATTTGGAAAACAAAGTGAAAACCTACAAGTATATCAACTAAAACTGTCAGTGCTGGTAAAAAAATAACAAGAACAATCTGTATCTTTACTAATCTGAACTTGTAGTCTGAGTTAGGGTAAAGGAGTACTGTAAGTCTCAACTTAACATTTGAGTTGCAAACTTTTGCAGATAGGAATGGACCTCATATTAGGAACATTCATAGATGCAAATAAATTGATGAAGTAGCTCCTGTATCTGCCAGACATTGTCACAGTTGCGCTGCTGGGTGCTTACTTTATAGTGTGATAGTGTACAGTAGTGCACTAGGAGTCCAAAAGCAAGAGGAAAAGCAGTGTTGATGAGGGGACTGCTAGGAAACACAAAGCAATAACTACAGAAACGTAGTGTAAGACTCACTTTGTCAGATTTACAAACGTTCTCCCAGAATGGAACTCATTTGTAAGTTGGGGAATTACTGTGTTAGAAATATAATGCTTAAAACCTTGGAAATGAGAGAGTAATGACACAAGTATATAAGTTCTCCATACTCTTCTAGACATTGGAAAACTGTGTGCACATGGGAAAATGGAGTGCGTCCTGCAAAAAGTAAAAGCTAAGGCATCTTTGAAAACTGGCTGAAACTTTGGGTGTGCTCGCCATAGGTGGAGGTCTTTTAGGAATTTCTGCCTATGTAATAACCCAGCTGATAAGCTATCTAGGTACACAGATAACTTGTAGCAGGCCAGGCCAAAAAAATAAGAACCAAAGCTAATCAGTGCTAATACATTACAGAGAGACAAATGGACTGTGTAAGTCCAAACAAGTTACTTTTAAAGGAGTAATAAAAATAAATCATGTTTGAGTCAATACATTATACAAAATTACCAGTTTCTAGTAAATAATTCTAAGGTATACAAAGATATATATTCAAGAAAAAAAAAGGAGTGAATAAAAACTAACTTTGAGAGATCAGACACTAGGTTTGATAGATAAAGACTTCAAAGCACCAGTAAAATCATAATCACAAAATTAAAGGAAAATATGATGTCACAACATATAGGGACTCCCAGTAAAGAAATAGGAGCTATGGGAAATAAATAATTGAAAAGTCTGTAGTCTAAATATCAAATGAGTGAGATTAGAAATTATCTAGGTGGATTTAACAGTATTATGGAGGTGATAGAAGAGGAAAAAAAATGAATTTGGAGAAAGATAAATAAAAATTACCCAATCTAGAGGAAAGAGAGAAAAAGACTATATAAAAAGTAAACAGAGCCTCAGAGATGTGACAAAACATAAAATGTTCCAGTGTACTTTTAATGGATGTTCTAGAAAGAGAGGGTTTAGAGAATGGGACAAAAATGTTTTTTGAAGACATAAAAGTTGAAACTTCCTAAAAATAGTGCAAAACAATCTGTGGATCCGAGAAGCTCATCAGATTTTAAGTATGAAAAAGCTCACATCTGGATATGTTATGTGCAAACTAATGAAAGACCAGGACAAACTTAAAATCATAAAAGCAACAAAAATTAACAATCAGGAAAAGAGTAAAAATTTGATTATTGTATGATTTCTGAGTGGAAATAATGGATACCAGAAGGCAGAAGGAGCAAAATAAAACTTAACCAGTAATTTTATATCCAGTAAGTCTAAAGGAACTGGAATAAATTTATTCTCAGGTAATCAAAAAGTAAGAGAATTCTTTGCTAGTAGACCTTATCTACAAGAAAAACGGAAAAAAAATTCTTCAGGCTAAAAGGAAATGGCATCAGATCATAATGGGAATGTACAGGAAAGAATGAAGAACACTTAAAAGGGTTTTGTTGCTAAGTGGGAAAGCCTGTGTGTATGTGCATGTACATAAGTTCAGGGAAAGGAATTCAAGTTAATGTGTAGCAATATTCATTTTTAATTTTTATCCCTAGCCCTTTTTATTTATTTGGAGACAGGGTCTCACTATAGTTGTTAAGTTGCCCAGGCTGGGCTTGAAGTTGTAACCTTCCTGCCTCAGCTTCCCAGAGTGCTAGGAATGTATATGTGCTGCCACACCTGGCTCTTCCATGTCTGTTTTTTTTTTTCCTCTCTCTCCTCCCCTATCCCCTCC